AGGCCTGGCGCATCATCTCCGCCAGTATAGCTGGAGGTGTGCTCACAAATGAAAAATTGGCCTGATTGAATACCGGCGCGGTGTTCCCACCCGCTCCCCCTCCGTCCATTGACATGTTGGATCCTCCGTCTGGTGTAGACGAGACGCCCGGATCCATCAACGCGAGATGGAAAGCGGCGGGGTTTCCACCCGCGCTCTCACGCCCATCCGCACCATTGTACGGCGCAGCCAGCCTCGCGAGGGCTCCTTGATCCAGAGATAAGTCCATGGCTGCGAATGACGTAGGAGCAATGCTACGGGCCTAAGGCTATACGGCTGATAACCTATGTTTACAGGAAATCAGCCAACAGCGCTCAACTTTTCCTTGAGCCAAAGTACGAAGGTCGAGGTATATATAGTACAAAGTATACGTGGAACACTCGATAAAAACAAAAACTGTTTGGACTTTTCAACTCTATGTCCTTGGCCTCAGCCGGCCTCAGCCTCCAGAATCGCGAGACTTGTTTTGAAATCCAAGGCACTTAGCATGACATCGGGCAATCTCAGGTCGACTGCGGAGCAAATCGCAGCTTCGATTCGCCACCTGCAGACAAAGCCAACAAACAAGTTTAATTCCATCCAAAACAAATGAGGTGGGAGAAGAACCCAACATCAGAAAACGATAAGCAAAGAGCTGGTACTGGTACAACGTTTGAATTTGTAATTCTTTTGACCGTTAGACCGTTTCAGTAAGTCTCTATGTCCTCTATGTTAGCATGAGAGCTAAATCAAGACCAAAATAAGGCTGAACCTGAGGCACTGGATGAAACCCTTGTCGTGAGCTCCTTGCTAAGTTCTTCTTGAATAATTTAATCTCGTTAGGTTTGATCAATGTGGCGCTTTTGGTTTGGACACCACCTCTTTTATGGGAAAGTAAAGGGAAAGATCTAAAGAATCCTGTGGAGAGAAACTGTCCTTTCCCCAAGTTGCCTTGAAGAGGCCCAATCCGTGCACCCCACAGATTGCGATGAGCCGCCCAGATTTTCTCTCTTCACTCAGAAGGAAGACAAAGACAACACCAAATCGCAAAAATCTACAAAAATGAAGAAAGGCATAGAATAGTCTCAACAAAGGCCAACCCTCCCGGTGTTGCTTCCTGACTAAGGTATCCAAATCCAACTTCAAACCTCTCCCTATGAAATCGCACAAACCTATGTCTCTCCTGGGTCCAAGCGCAGAACTGAAAAATGTGCGAAACAGCTACGATTTACAAAGTGCCCCGACAGCGTTGCAATTTCAGTTTGCGACCTAAAAATTGTCAACTAGTCAAGAAGCTACCATTCTTCCACGGGTCAAGCAAAGAAACTAACATCCTAGATCAATGCAAAATCCTACAACTAAAGCAGACATGCGAAAACGTGCTCGATAGAATTTCTGAAAGGGGGCAGGCTGCAAAGCTGCGCTGCGCATCCCAACAACTCTTGAAGTGCAGCGCAGCGATCGTCTCCTCCCTCCGAAAGCGCCGCCCCAATCAAACCGCAAGGAAGGGAGGGAGATGGAGAGACCAGGAAGAGAGAGGAAGATGTAGATTTCAATCGTCGGCAGTTTCAATTGTCCACTTCAGCCAAACACCACGAGCGAGTTTTCGCGATTCGTTGACAGAAAAGCCTATGTTGTTGATCATTCGTAGCAACTCGAGTAACACATGTGTCTATATACCCATATTAAAAACAAAAACATTATGTATTTCCCACTCCCATCATGATTTTTGCCTCGCAGGCGTGCGGTGCCAGCTCCCGATTATGAATCCTTGGCCCACAATTGCATGCTGCATTTGATCTTGACTAGTCTTACTAAGTGGCAGCAGCAGCAGCAGCACTACTTCTACTAATAGTAGTAGTAGTAGGAGGAGGAGGAGGAGCAGGAGGAGGAGGAGCAGCAGCAGCAGCATCAAGTCGCTTGACATCTTTGGATTGTATGCAAAGAATCATGCACAATCTACGGTGAACAATGAGTGGCTTCTCAAATCCAATATGCTCTCAAAATTGACTTTTCAGCTGCCCTGCCAAGGGGCAAATTTAGTGGTGCCCACGACTCTCGCCGACCAGAGAACTGTGTCATAGATACATGGCCCATGAAGTACAAAGTATCGAAAAGGCTCCGGTTGAGAATCAAATCCTAGGCTTGTTAGGGTTCAAGCGAGCAGGTCTTGTTGTTGCTGCACTGAGATAGGCAAATCTTCACCATCAAGCTGAATTACTGTAAACTTTCTTTGGCTGTGGTTGAGCTCCCACCCAAAGTCAATGATGATAATTTGCTATTTCTTTGCGTCGGGTAAAAACATTGGTAGACTCTTAGACTCCTTGCGTCAGATTTAAGATATTTAAGGAGCTTGCAATGTTGCAAGCCTATAATCCAACTAGACGACGAGTGGCCCGAAAGCATTTTTCATCACGTAGGAAGCCAGAGTGTGAGTTATCTGTTAAGTGTTCAGTGTGAAGTGTTAAGTCGAGTGAGTTGAGGCAGTGTGTGGGTCTCTGTGTGTGTGTATCTATGTCTGTGTGCGTATGAGTCTCTGTCTGTGTGTGTGTCCGAGTAAGTTGAGGCAGCGCGTGGGTCTCTGTGTGTGATGTGTGTGTATGAGTCCCTGTCTGTGTGGGTCTCTGCTCGCCAGGTCCTCCGCATCTAAAGTTTTACTACGAAGTCGCCAGTTCTCATCTTCCAGCTCCGCAGCTACTCCGCGTACTACAATTGTACTACAAAGTCGCCAGTACTCCTCTTCCAGCTCCCCAGATACTCCGCGCGCTAAAGCTGCACTACAAAGTCGCCAGTTCTCATCGCCCAGCTCCCCAGATACTCTGCGTACTAAAGTTCTACTACAAAGTCGCCAGTTCTCAGCTTCCAGCTCCACAGATTGCTCCGCGTACTAAAGTTGCACTACCAAGTCGCCAGTTCTCATCTTCCAGCTCCCCAGATACTCCGCGTACTAAAGTTGCACTACCAAGTCGCCAGTTCTCATCTTCCAGCTCCCCAGATACTCCCTGTACTAAAGTTGTGCTACAAAGTCGCCAGTTCCCATCTTCCAGCTCCCCAGATACTCCGCGCGCTAAGGCTGCACTACAAAGTCGCCAGTTCTCATCGTCCAGCTCCCCAGATACTCTGCGTACTCAAGTTGCACTACAAAGTCGCCAGTTCTCAGCTTCCCGCTCCACAGATTGCTCCGCGTACTAAAGTTGTACTACAAAGTCGCCAGTGCTCAGCTTCCAGCTCCACACATTGCTCCGCGTACTATCGTTGTACTGGCGAATCGCCAGTTCTCAGCTTCCAGCTCCACAGATTGCTCCGGCGGACTAAAGTTGCACTAGCAAATCGCCAGAACTCATCTTCCTGCTCCCCAAATCGCACTCTCGCCTGCACTTCGCGCACTCGACACGCGCGATCTCCGCAGAGAGTTGCGCGGACCGGACAGATCGCACTCTCGCCTGCATTTCGCGCACTCGACACGCACGATCTCCGCAGAGGGTTGTCCGCGCGCAGAACCAATCGAGCTCTCGCCTGTATTTCGCGTACTCGACACGCACGATCTCCGCAGAGGGTTGCGCGGGTACCGGAAAAAATCGCAGTCTCGCCTGCATTTCGCGCACTCGACACGCGCAATGTCCGCAGAGGGTTGCGCGGGCATGTGACAAATCGCACTCTCGCCTGCGTTTCGCGCACTCGACACGCACGATCTCCGCAGAGGGTTGCGCGGGCACGGGCCAAATCGCACTCTCGCCTGCATTTCGCGCACTCGACACGCGCGATCTCCGCAGAGGGTTGCGCGCGCACCGGACAAATCGCACTCTCGCCTGCATTTCGCGCGCTCGACACGCACGATCTCCGCAGAGGGTTGCGCGCGCGCCGGACAAATCGCACTCTCGCCTGCATTTCGCGCACACGACACGCACGATCTCCGCAGAGGGTTGCATTTTCGGTCGACGCTGTTCGTCCCACCCTCCCCTTTAAGAGAGAATTTACAAAGTGAAAGACATCTCCCGCGCAAGTTTTCATTAGCGCATCTCCCGTGCAAGTTTTCCATACTCATACTTTACTTGCATCCTTGCGCTGGGCATCCTTGCGCTGGGATTGCACTTACACTTGCATACTTGCCCTTGGACGCTTTTTATCCTTACACTCGGGTACGTATAGACGTGTCAGTGTTCAAGCGTCAGTGTGGAAGCGTAAGTGTAGAAATGTCAGTGTTCAAGTGCAAGTGTTGAAGTGTCAGTGTGTAAGTGTAAGCGTCGAAGTGTCAGTGTTCAAGGGATTTTCCGGAAGAACCCTTCGCAAGGCTTTCGGGAAAAAGCTGAAGAAAAACCTGAAGGCTTGCTCACAGCCTGGAATCCAAATCTTCTCGAAAAGTCTGGTAGTTTTCTTCAAGCCAACCAGCCAGGGGAACCTAAGTCGAGCAAAGGATCGGGATTTCCAGAAGTGATGAACTGAAAGACATGAAACGAAACAAAAGAAGTTTAGAGGTTTTGGCGCCTTCGTTCCTGCTCTCGGCCGTCACACTTTGTCCAACCAACAGGAAAACAAGAACCTTCTCAGTCTGTGTCTGCGTCGTCCAAAAGACTGCCGAATTCGGCCAAACGGGTCTTTGTCGGAAGCCCTCAGGGAAGACATGCGAGTTCGTGTTGATGTCGTAGAGATTCTGGCAAAGGAGATCGCAAACTCCAGGAGACTTGCATACACTGGTTCAAGAAACATTGGTCCAGCACATTGTCGGATAGTTCGATATGTCCCAAGCCTCCCACTTGCGGAAGCTAAAGAAAGGATACTGCTGCAATTCTTCAAACCTTGGGAGTCCAACGCCATGTTGTACACTTGAAGCATCTTGAAGCAACTCTTTGAAGTCTCAGCAAGTCGCAAATCATTCCCTCGCTGCAGCAGTGCTGCTGCTTTGGAGAGGTTCTGTCGGCGTTTGGCAAAGGCAGCCCCCACCTGCACCATACAAAGCTCGTTGGAGCAAGCAAGGTTCAACAGTTCTGAAGCTGTCAAGCTCCGCGGAGGTCACGGATTCCTTCCATGACCACGAATGGAGGAAATGCGAAAATACGAGCCTCCTTTTAGCGTGCTTTTTAATTTTTTTAGCACACTAAAGGCACACCAGAAACGGATAGTAAATTCTCAAAGAGCCAAGGGCGAAAGCAACATCACTAGCGCCCTTGCTATAGTGTGATGATGTGTGACGAGCAACAACTCCCTGTTCCTGCTCACACTTCAATTTGCGCAAGTTTGCACTCAGAAAATACTACAAATGCAAAGCTCTAAAGCAGCATCACCAGCACCACAGCTACGTAATCAAGCTGTGGTTGGGAGGCAAAAGAAACAACCTTTCTGTTCTTTGTGATGCGGTGATTCAGATGTGTACAGAACTTTGTGTTTTTAGCTTCTTTCAGCCTCTGCACACAGCATGATGAGGAACAGCCAGCGCTCATGGCACACCTCCCCAATGCAACATCTTTGCATTCTTTGCATTCACCGCCGTTTCACTCTGTCTTTCTACTTCCGCCTTACTCAAGAAGGTCCCAACACCAAGGCTTAAATCGGAGCATCCACTGTGCTTCAAGCCTTGGAAACCAAACTCTCGTTCAAAACAGACCATTCTTTAAGGTTCAGTATGCTTGTCTACTACTCGTCTACTCATCGGTTACTCGACTCAACAAAGCTACAGTAAGTATACTTTGCCTCAGGAAACACTTCTGGTTGCAACCTAAGGGCTCAAGTCGCGCAAGTGAACCGACAGCTCCGCCGCCTGGGAGCTTGCAGGCCATGCTACCCATTTCGGGTATGGTGACCAAGCAAATCGCACAAGACACCGACTACAACACGCAAAAATGCCTCCAATTGTATCCTCGGGCCATTCTCTTCAAACCAAAAGTAGGAATAGAAAGCCTGACCTCCAGGGGCAACGGGGGCATTGTTGGAGGCAAGATTCATTTCCCAACACAACCACAACGCAACAACAGCACAAGCTGGTCCATTTCCCAAGTTTTTGTCTTCTCTTCTTCTCTTCTTCTATTCTTCTCTTCTTCTCTTCCCTTCTCTTCCCTTCTCTTCCCTTCTCTCCTCCTCTCTCCTCTTCTCTCCTCTCTCTCCTCTTCTCTCCTCTTCTCTCCTCTTCTCTCCTCTTCTCTCTTGCTTTCTCTGCACCACTTCGCCTTTGCTTAATGGTTTGTTCTTTGTCAAGCTCCTTGCATGTTCTTGCAAGAAGTAGCACTAAGGAAAATGCACATAGTTTATGATGTGCATCCTGTACTCAATGTCATTTCATCCTTCATTCTGGACCGGTTAGGCAAAGGGGCGCCTACACCAAAGGCCAAGGAAGGCAGGTGGTTTGTGCTCACCTGATACAACTGGGATCCATGTTACAATGCAAACAGTTTTTGGTCCACACGCCTGGTGTTTTGAAGTTGGATAAATCTTTGCAATTTGCAAATCTGTGTAAAAAAAATGGTGTTAACTCTGGCCTCTGCAAGTTGCCGCAACTGCTGATACGCCAACAATCGATGAGATGCATCGTCCCAAGAAGTGGACCACCTGGCTAAATCGTTGGCAGGGCGAGTTCTATTTATCTCATTTTTGCTCAACTGGGAGACTGGGAGAAAGGCGACTTTATACTTTCTAGTCCCAACTAAATGTTTCCAAGCAAGTGGTATTCATTGTGTCTGGCTTCAAAAATAGAGCCTTCTGAATCCTCCCTCCTTTCAAATCCCTTTTGCACCCAAGGGCATGATATCGTCCAACCACTTGTAGATGATGCCAAGGTTCTCCTCAGCTTGACCGGCAGTTCTGGTACCCACAACAATCCGCAACATCCACTCTGGCAAACGAGACTCGCTTTCATTGCTGGTAAACGCAGATCCACCTGGCCAAGCAAAATCAACCCATAAGAGGTTGGGTAACAAGTCTCTCTGCTCGTTTGTTTGCTTTCGCCACGCAAACTCTTCATAACTTGTTTAAACCAGTTGTGGCCAGTCCGCGGTCGTCAATTGTTTGTTGTGGACGGTTGAAATGGTTCAGTGCTCATTAAACTGCCCGCGCCTAGAAAAATATCACTTTCCTGGATCTGAGCGCCTGCTCAGCAAAAGCTCAATGGCGTTGTTTGCGACGCAAAATGTTTGTGAATATATATATATATATATTAAACTCGCTCGGTCCTTTTCAACGCGCTCCGCAGTTGAGTCAAAGATTTAAATACATTCGTGGAAAAATAGTCTAGCATGACTTCTGGTTCACTTCCCTGTGAACAGAGGCTCACAAACCTCAGGGACACCACAAATCTAAACCTCGCCAGACCAGAGGAATAGATTCGCCTCCCTATACCTCCACCGGGCCCCTCGCCATACCGAGAGCCCGGAGCCAGGCGTGTTTTAAAACATGAAGTCAGCTACTTACAAAACGAAAAGAAGACCTGCCCCCCACCCTTTCCACGTCCCCCTTTTCTGCGCCTCGTGCACGCGCTCAAGTGCGCTGCTTCCGGGGGTGTGGATTGAGAGTGAAACACGCGAGTAAAAGGGAGGAGGGACTTATGGGGCAAATGCAATTCTGCTAAAACTGACAGGCCTTCGTTAATGTAAATCCTGGCCGCGCGCGCGGCTTGCCAACGACCAGCAATCAGGAGTCGATCGAGACTCCCGCGCTTGGAAAACCAAAAGGTCGAGCCTCCTCGCCTGAGGGAGTAAGGTCTGAACTCGAAGAGACTAAGCTTCAAATCAGATAAGCAGTTCTTAAACATTTTCCTCCAGGTGGCGGCCGACGGGCACATCGACGCCCTGGGGCTGTTCTGACCCTTCCAGAACCACAACCACTTTAAAGCAACAGCAGCGGCCAATGTCACAGACTCAGCTGCGCCTGTCCGCCTTTTGCCTCCCTTTGTCAAACCTAAACTAATCACCGCAGGTGAATTAGCAGAATTCATGCTGATATCGGAATTTCGGATGCCTAAGACCTCGCCCGTCCTTAGCATTGCATAGAAACACAAAAGGATAGAGACTGAGAAATTGAAATGTCCATGGAAAAACCCCCAGCCGGCCATGGCCAAAATGGCCTGCTCTGGCAGGGGCGGCGCCCTGTTAGGAATCTGCTGAGTATTCCAAGTTTTCATCAATCTCCATGTCTGCTGGAAGCGCCCCTTAAGCTTTGGATCAAGGTCCTGCAATCCTGCGATCGTATCGGCGTCGAGCCCACGGCCCTCGCCCTCGGACCACAAGAATTCCACATATTCCAAGACTAAAACTGGTCACGTCTAGTGGGTATCTCAAGCTGGTTCTTGTGTAGGAAGTCGTAGAAACATTCCCTGGCCTTCTTGTAGCGTGCGTGTGTTTTAGTTGAAACTGTTAGACCCTTCAATGGCCCCACGGCCCTGCGCTGCTGTTTCCTATCCTCTTTGCTACGACCCTCTATCACACGAGCTCTTACTTTAGCCATTTCTTGCGCAGCGGCCGCCTGCTCGGGCGGTCCGCAGGGTTGAGAGAGGTGTGTAATTTAGTCTCAGGACTAAATTGGATTTAGTCCGGAGCCCCGGACTAAATTACCAGCCGGACTCAAGACTAAATCACTAAAAAAGAGTAAATTTAGTCGGGGACTAAATTTAGACTCATTTGATCTTAGAGGTCTCTCTCCGGAGTCATGCAATCTCTTTGGGGCGTAGTCCCTGTGGAGCCTCCTCTCAGCCTTCTTTCGATGACCTGGACTTGCGATCCTTCCCACGCTCCTTTTCTTTTTCTCTCCTCTGCATTGTCTTCTTCTCCTCACGTCGACCAAGGGCTCTCTCTTCTTTCTTGTGTCTTCGTCCATGTACTGCTCCTGCTTCTCCGTCTCTCCGGTCTCGCTTCCGCAGCCTGGCTAGGGGCGGCAGTCCCCGGCCCTTGCTGCTTGGCCCGCCCTCTTCTCTCTCAGGCGGATGGGCTTCCTCAGCCCTTGTGTCACCAGGAGCCGCCGCTCCCGATCCCTCAGGAGATGTCTCTCCCAGAGTTCCAGGAGTCCGCACTCCCGAATCACGAGGGGCCACTCCCCCCGAACCACCTGTCTCGAGCCTGATGCTCTCACCAAGGAGGAGGTCCCGCTCCCGCCACCTGAAAGCTCAGCGCGCGCTCCAGCAGACGAGTAAAGGCCGCCTCCAGCAACGGGACCGCGGCTGATCTGACCTCCTCCCAAGTCCCGGCACAAAGCGAGAAACTCGACAGGCGTGCCAGGATGCCGCAACAGCGGCAATTGCAGGTTGAGTAATCGTGCGCTAGCCTCTTACTCATACGCTGAAGCCAGAACACTGCAATGAAATATGAACCATGCTCGTTTTAACTTACGAAACGACGGACCATATAGTTATAGTTATTGTATGTTTGATTTACGCTATTTATTGACTATTGATAACATATATACATATATACATATATATATAACTGCATTTCTTGAAACTTTTGGCATCGTGATTGTTCTTGGTAGTTCTGGGTGGCATCATGCATCAAATGAGTGCTTCATGGAAACATACAGTACACATTCCATTCCACAAAAAGGGTCACACATATAGATGGTAGTTTCGAGGCAGCACCTGCACTGACGATGAGCAGCAACCGGCCAACACATCGCATGAATAATGCAAATTTTGTCTATGTATATTGGTAAAATCCTTGCGAATAATCCAGTTACATCCCTCATGATCATTCCAGTTGGATCAATAAATCATCGCGTTGGCGAGGTACATGTCCGCTACATACCAGAGCTGTTTTTCGCAGCCCATTGCATGTTCGTTGTCGTGTGGCGTGTTATAAATGCCACTCCTACTTGATTCAAATGATTTGATCCGAAATCTGCGAAATTGCAAGGTATACGGTATACCTTTCTGACAGGAAATGAAACGGGCCCAATCTTCCTAATGGGCAAAACTGTACCTTGAGCCTTGTTTGGAGTCTTCCTTGCTGCTCTCCTCCGATCTCTAAACAGCATCTGAACCCATGTGTTGTGTCCTCCAGTGATCTTTCTGGCTGCAGAGGTTCCCTGCGAGTCAACGATGAACAGTGTATTGTTGCAAACGCTAAGAAGGACCAAGGTCTTGGAAGTAAATGGTATATATCTGGGCAGAAATGCATCATCCAAATGGGTAAAGTGAGTGGAAACGACATTATTCTGGAATAGACCTCACTACAAACCGAATGCAAAGTAAGCAGGGCTACACCAGCAAGGGGATGGAATCGGAGGGTGCAAGTGCTCGCTTCCTGGCGGAAAGCTACGGTTCTGAAAATTGAATTGTTCCAAAAACTAACCACACAATATGGAATATTAACCCCCAATGCACATATTGTACGAGTTTTCGGCAAGTTTAGTAAAACAACACCAATGGAAACGAGCAGCTAAACAAATGTTCATCCACACACCAACTTTAGGTGACCCCAAAACTCACAAAAAAAGACTAGCAGCAACTGTAGGGAAGAAGGGGGTAAGTGGTCCAGAACACAAATACCGCAAAAAAGTCCTTCAGCGGCCTGAGCTTCACCAACGTAGCCTCTGGTGTGCCCTTGGGTGCAAGAAACCATGGCCTCAGCGAGCGCATGGAAACGTCTCTCCTCAATAATTGTTTATATATTGCTTCCAACATCACATCCGTTGACTCTGCTTTGAAACAACTCAGCATATGTTCGCACCTCGTGCGGCCAAGTTGACAGCCCAATCAGTTCTACGTATTTCGACCGCTCTCTCTTTCGGGAATTTCGCTACTATTCGATATCTGTGGGCAGCACCTAAGGGACAAGAACACACTGAAGAAGGTGGTCTAAAACAAGTGCGCAATAGACGCCATTCCGCTTTGGACGCAACGGCGTCGCGCGCCCCGAAGCCCTTGGTTGAGAAAATCAGAATACGCCAGCGCAAATTTTTTATGGTCAATGGAGCCGCTTTTTTTGACCAGAACTATATAACTATTGTAAATTAAGCGCGCGATCATTATTTTCTGCTCGCTTTGTAAAGCAGTCAACAAGCATCTGTTCATGCCGGATCCACTTCATGGCAGCGCTCGTCTCATGCATCAGCTGTCTAGCGCACTGCATGTGAATTGCAGTTCGCTTGTCTTCGGTGAAAGCCCGCTGTTGTCTTCACCAAGTGATCGAGAGGACTGCGTGTCCAGACACAGGCTCTTTCTCAGCCTCTTGTCCATCTTGGGACACGGCGCTGAGTGTCCACGCTAGCTCCTGCACAGCTTGCCCAACAGCTTGCCCATCCACCTGCCCTCGGCCTTTCTGCAGTGTCACTTCTTACTCATTAATCTCTGCGGGACATACTTGTTCACGTCAACGAGAAGGACGCCCCTCTCCCTGAGTGGCCAGGTCCACAAACTTATCTCGTCGAAATTGAACCTCTGTCTGAGCACAACAACAAATCGTCAACCTCAAAAACAAGAACCCCTTGAAACCTACCCCTGTCATCGACAGACTTTGGAACATGGATTTGCAGAGCTCTGAACATAGCCCCGTTCAATAAGAACCTTGCGCAATGACTAGCACCAGCACGTGAGCCGGAACATCTTGAAGGCCATGCGCCCCTGCCCAGATCTCCATCAACTGCGCAAGTTGCGCCAGATCGTGGCCAAAGCGCCGAGAATCCTCACACCCAGGCACTCGAAAGCCAGAGCATCTGTTTCTGCAAATCTGCGCGGCGTAAACGCATTCCCTCCGAAATTCCGTGCCCAGCCCAGCTTCTATGAAAGGCTCTCCACACATGAACAGAGTTCACGCCGTCCAAGGGTTCTTATCGCTTCGTCTGGATTCGCCTGGCGGAAGCTGTGAGGTTCTTTGCTTACCTTCTGGGTCGCCCTCTACACCCTCTGCTCCTGTTTCTTCCGCTACCGCCAACTGGGGGCTGATGGGCATGATCCTCCTGAGATGCGTCATTGCTGGAGACAGTGGGAGAACGCCATGGCGATGAAAGAACCACCTCTGTGAAGAAGACGTGGTGGAGGAAGTGAAGCGCCTGGCAAAAGAGGCTTCAACCTTAGGACCTTGGGCGACGATGAAGCGCCAGCGACTCCGAGCCCTGACGCGCTGCGCGTCGTGCAAAAAAGTTTCGACTCTGGTGGACAAGGAGAGTGAAGATCGCTTTATTTGAGCACCCATGGTCTTGCAACTCGCGGTCCGAGCTTTCAACGCTTCGACGCCAAAGCCTTCCCAAGCGGGGACCAATTTTGATTTACGACCGGAAGCCACCGGATTTACGACAACGGAAGAGTCCTCTTTCTCCTCCCTCCTCTTTGACTCCTCCAAGCTGCATTGCATCTTGATAGAACGCAACTCGTCCACAGCGTGGCCCCTCCATGGAATACGGCTGCGGCGCCATCGTTGAACGGCTTGCTGCAGCATCTGGCTGACCACTCCTTCCGTCGTTCTCTTGCGCGCCCACATCCTTCTGTCGAAGGTTTTGCTCCCTCAGCGCCGGCGGTGTTCCCCGTGTTGAGCCCTGAGCTCATGAGACTGCAGCTGCTCCTGGACTCTCCTACTCCTCTTGCCTTCGCTTGCTTTCGCGCACAAAACTCGAAGACCATGCTCAAGCGACTTCTCCAAACGCTGCAAGGCTGCTTCGCCTGTCAATCCCGACTGGACGGTATCGCGTTGATCTCTTCATGGAAACACGCTTCTTGGAGAGTAGTATATAAATTCAACGAAGCTGCCCCACCTCAACAACGGCTGCGCCCTCAACAGCGGCTGCGTCCTGGCATGGCTCAGCTAAAGAACGAGCGAAGGATCGCCTGCGCAACTTCATACAACCGGAGCTCCGCTACCATGGGTAGGACCTACGGGGGAAGAACACACTGAAAAAGGTGGTGTAAAACAAGCGCGCGGCAAACGCCACTCCGTTTTGGACGCATCGGCGTAGCGTGCCACATGGGTCTTGGTTAAGAAAACCACACAGCACGCCGGTGCAAGTTAGTTATGGTCGATGGTGCGCTCTTCAGTTGTCTTCGTTTCACTATCCGACCGGGCGTTGCGAAGGGTTCTTCTGTAGAAAGGGTTTGCGTTACAGGTCTGCGCGACTTATACAGCTGCATTTGTAGTACGCTACAAGTACATCTGCAGCTTGCAGGTGTGGTTTCTAGAGCGCTACTATGGGGGCTGCGCTTGTAGGTATGCTACAAGTACATCTGCAACTTGCAGGCGTGGTCTTCTTCTAGAGCTGCTGCTACGAAGGGCTGGGATCTTGCTTCAGCTAACAGAATATCCTAGGGGTCTTGCTTCAGAAAACAGATTAACATCGAGCACCGGCTCCATATATCTATATATATTGTCTTAGCCGGGGGCCTGTCCGTGACGTGAAATCCCAAATTCGGGGCGCATTGATGAACCTTTTGCGGACATCGCGCGCGTCGGACGCTCAAACGTGAGGTGATACGCGAATTCTGGGCAAGCCCGGTGAGTCCTCTGCGGAGATCGCGCGTGTGGAGCGCTGAGGCAAAATGCGCATGTTGTTGCCAAAGTGCGCAACTGTCGCCGAAATTCAATGTGGGAGTTGCCAAGGTCTAAAACTTTGCAATTGTCGTCGGAAATGGCAACCGCCGAAAACGAAGGTGGAGGAGGACAAAGTGTGTACAAAAACTTTCGTGGAAAACGAAGGTGGAGGTGGACAAAGTGTGTAACTAGCTGTCGCCGAACAAAGGCGGAAGTGCGTAAGCGTCGTCAAAAACAAAGGTGGGGTTGCCAAAGGTGTGTAACTGTCGTCGAAAACCAAGGTGGAGGTTGCGAAAGTGTCTGTCGCAGAAAACGCAGGCGAGGTTGCCAAAGTGTGCAAGTGGCGTTGAGGTGGAGGTCGCCAAAGTGCGCAACAGTCGTCCGACATGGGGAGCTTGTAGTATAAACCTAGTACAGGCAGCAGCTTCTGCAAGCTGTGGCAACAGAAGTGGCACGTTTGTATTGCAAATGGTGCGGGAAGCAGCTTCTGGGAGCCGTCGCCTCAGAGCTGGGAACTTTGTAGCGCAAGTGTAGTGCGGGAAGCTGCTTGTAGGATGTGGCCTCAGAATACAACTGTAGCACGGGAAGCGGCTTCTGGGAGCCGTGGCCGCAGAACTGGTGTAAATGCGGCGTCTCGCTGGGGAGCGGGATGATTGGCGGTGCCCACGAGGCTTGGTGTTACATTGTTGTGTCTAGTCAGTCTGTGGTACACCGTGTGGCGAAATTACGTCTGTGATGTTGCTGTGCCATGAGGCATGGTGTGGCCACATTAGATCCACTAGTTTCCTCTGAGTGCCAGGAGCACATACACCATTCACCTCTCCACAGCAAGTCTCAAGAAGGTGGACACACCGATATACAGTACACCTATATACTATATACTGGCGCGCTCGTCTTTCCACACTCCCGGGCCATTCGCGTCTAGTAGTTTATAGGCCTCTCGTCCCTATAAAGGCCCGAAGGCCCACGATGAGGCGCGTGCCCTTCCTGGCCACGAAGGTGCCGTGGCCTCACAATAATTCAGTTATTCTCGTGGTCTAACGTACCCATGAAGATGGCGCTCAAGTGCTCAAGTCTCAAACTTACTACTGCTCAAGTGTTCAACTCCACTTAAAGTGCCTTTCGCTCCCCCTCACCCAGACTTGCCTAATTGGCGTGATCACATCTGGCGCATGCACCGCATGTCCAGCGTCCTTCCATTAGGTTTGAGGGAAAAGGACGCCTCCGACAAGCCTTCACAACGTTTCGATCCTTTGTCGAACCCCCCAAAACATCTATCATCTTTTGAATCTCCCGTCTGGAAAGAAAAACATCTCCTGGGTATGGCTATGTCTGAGATTCCAGTGTCTGACAGGTGCCACATCCCTGAGACATGAGCGGGTGACACAGAGCTGCTGGAAAGTTTCAAACAGTGGAAATCCAAACAAAATCAGCATGGCCAAAGTGAATCCCAAAAAAATAAAGAACAGGTCTTTGTTGGTTGACACCTTTCAGCCTCTCTCCGGAATCGATGCGAATTCCTCTGGGTGCAAAGCGTGATGGGATGGTCCTGGCAGTTCATCTTGGCTCTGTCACTCGATTCATGCTCAGCACTGAAAATCAAAAAACACTGCATTCAGGAACTTCTTGGCGCTTTGGAGTTATACTCAAAGCTCTTGCACCTCCCATTGCCCGTGGTGGAACATGCTGTCAAACACCTTGCAAAGTGCAAATTAGCTCTGAGCGCGCGGTGTCCCTGTATCCATCACTGACAATCAGCATACGCATATATATATATAAGTATATAGAAGAATAATGACCCTTCAAACTTAACCAATGCAACATAATCAGGCTCAGGGTTTTGCAAGGTGATAAAGATTGCAGTACCACAGAGCGAGCTTGGGGACTTAAAGGACTCTGGCACGACGCGTGATGAAGCGTGGACGAAACATCACAAGTTCATTGCAACAAGTCTGCGGAGATCGGACGGCAAAGTAGCAGGGTTGAGCACATCAATGTTGCTAAAGGGGTTCTGTGTACGATTCTGTAGGGTTGGAGGAAAACCCAGGTGTACACCTCGCGGACCTAGATTTGTTTTGCCATGGCCATTCACTTCCCAGTGCGTTTGACGGCTTAAAACGATTGCAAAAACTATAAACATGATAAACTTATGGATAAGCATGCATATAAACTGTGCCACCCGAAGCATGCATTCCAAGATTGAATTGCTGCAAATGGCCTCTGCCAGGCATTGCTTGTGTCCTTGTTTCCACTGCAGCACAGGCTGCAAGCAGGAAAGCCACCAGTGCTGAATGGTTTGATCACTTTTGGGAGGCTGCATTCACATCACCACCAACATTGTCATTGTGACAGTTGGCACTGCGTGCGCATCATGCGAATCGTTTGTTGGCTTGGTCTAGAGGGAAGCCTCCCGAGTACCCAGAGGAGCAACACCGTGCAGATCCTATGATGGAATGTGAGAAAAAGTTAGGTCCATTCTGACTAGTTGCAAAGTGACGACACTGTAATAGTGGCATGGTGGCATGTAGCATGTCAAAACCAGCAGCAACGCGCAGTGCCGATTTTGCAGTCGAGTTTGCTCTTTTTGCGGAACACTCCTCACCGGCCTCTTTTTCAACAGACATAGGCCGGTGTGCAAACTGCCTACTGAGCCTGGAACCCTCGGAAAATTCTATTGAGGATATGTCGGATATGTCCAGTGAAGTTTGTCCAGGGCCGGGCTGGACGGGGCGTGCCTTTCAAAGGTAGAATTTGCAGACCAGCTACGGACGAGACAACAAGCGACAGAAAGAAGTAAAGATAAAATTCAAAAGAAAAATGTGTATCATTGAATTGTGTCACATCTTTCATTTCAGTGCACTTCCAGCTTTCACGCAAGCTTTGCAGCTGTGGGCCCCGACCATCGGAACACTTGGCCCGAGGAATCTTGGACCCTCTAAGCCAAAATGAACTTCGAGTTGCACTATTCCAAAGTCACTAGGATGGCTGAAACTGTGGAAATCGATGAATCATGAAGAATCAATCTGCATCTGTTATTTTCCAGCTGCTCTTCTGCAAGCTAGGCCTAACCAAAAACAGAATCCTTTCTGCTTGCTGCTTACAAAAGTGATCTGCGAAACAGCAAGCGAGCAAAACAACTCGTCTTGGAGCTAGACAGATTAGACGAACCACAAAAATTTGGCTTTTGAGCATTTGCTAGGGTTGGCTCAAACACGATTCCGAGGCAGTTTGATTCTCTGCGCAATGCAAGCCAGGGCAACAGCATTGTGAGCCAACCCTACGGTTTGCTCTTGACTGGCGAGTCAAATTCTCGCCAAACCGAACGAAGGATTACGGCAACAACACCTTGCCAGCAACGGCATGGCCAAGTTACCACATGGAAAGGACCTCACACGTGCCCTACAGCCCTTCTGATTCTGATATCAAGATCGTTGGGCCTTTGCCACGCGCGCGTCCCGCAAAGCGCAGAAATCTAAGTTTGGCTTATGCCATTCAGACCTCCACTTCGTGCAAAAGTTTTTCTTGTTTGCTCTTTTACTCTTGCATCACTCAATGACCACAGCAGTCCCATAAACCATAACTTCAGAAGAGTTGGCCTGAGAAGCAAGCTCGAAGGTGCAAACTTGGCGAAACCACAGCAAAATTTTTCGTGAAAGTGTTTTCTGACAGGATTGCAACGAAAGCAGCGGGGTAGTTCGACGGGGAAGCCATCTCTTTTGGAGGATAGAAACAATTAATCGATAAATGTCTAAGACTCAACAAACCGTTGATTGTAATGTTGGACGCTGATTAGTAAATAGGTTCCTGAATACTGTTAAATTTTTTGGGGGCCCTAAGTTTTAAATTGGAAACCCAATTAATAAGGGTTTGAATTCCTTCTGAACCCTGTCCACCTGCACTCCCCCCTCCCTTCCCAGGCAAGCAGATAAGAAAAGTATGTTCCATTGGAAAAAACTGTTCATGGAATCTTCCTTTACTTAGCTCCTGAAGCCAATGATTATGATTCATTAGCTGACATAGCTTTCTCTAGGCTTCTTCAAAACTGACAGCTGACCAAAACCACCAATTCC